CAAGCAAACAAATGAAATGACCTAAAACCTTAAAAGTCTGCATACTTTGTTCTTAATACTGTGTATTGCCCACTTTAGCAACAATGACAGCTCGAAGTCTTTTGCAATAGTTTGTCTATGAGGCGCTGAATTCCTGCAAGTGATATAGCTGCCCATTCGTCTTGCCAAAATGTCTCCATGTCATGCAAAGTCTTTGGTCGTATTGCAAGAACCAAACGTTTGAGATCCCGATGGCTCAATGATATTAAGATCAGGAGACTGTGATGGCCACTCCAGAACCTTCATATTTTTCTGTTGTAACTACTGGAGGGATGTGCAGTGTTTATGCAGTAGAATGCAAGTTGTCTGCCAGTATTTTCTGATGACATGCTGCATTCATCTTGCCATCAATTTTCACAAGATTCCCCGTGCTTTTGGAGCTCTCACATCCCTAAAACATCAGTGAGCTACCCCCATGCTTCATAGTGGGGATGGTATTCTTGTCACTTTAGGCCTTGTTGACCCCTCTCCAAACACAGCGCTTTTGGTTGTGACCAGAAAGCTCTATTTTGGTTTCATCACTCCAAATTACAGTGTGCCACAAGCTGTGAGGCGTGTTGAGGTGTTGTCGGCATATTGTAACTAGACTTTATTGGTGCAGTAAGGGCTTCTTTCTGGCAGCTTAACCACGGTGCTAAATTTTGTTCAAGTATTGTCGTATTGTGCTCCTTTAAATTACCACACTGTCTTTTTCCAGAGCAGCCTAAATATCTCCTGAGGTTGCCCGTGGGTTTTTCTTTGTATCACAAACAATCCTTCTGGCAGTTAGACTGCAGTCTTTCTTGGTCTACCGTTGTGGATATCTTTTCCATCTTTATAAAGTTCCATTACCTTGTTATGCAGGTCTTTTGATGGTTCTACCCATGGCTCAGTATCTAATCTGTTTTGTGCATCCACGTGAGAGCTAACAACTCATTGACTGTTTATACACAGAAACTAATTGCAGTTTAAAAAGCCACAGATGTGGAAAATTAACCTTTTAATTGCCATTTTAATCTGTGTGTGTCACCTTGTGTGACTGTACTAAGGCCAAACATACCTGAGTTTGTAAACTTTTCAGGGCTATTTGGGTAATTTCTGTTATTATGATTTAAAAAGGAGCCAAATGACTATGTGATAATAAATGGCTTCATATGATCACTATCCTTTAAATAGGACTGGTTTTTTTTTTTTTTTTTTTTTTGCATGATCAGTCCCATTTCCAATATTAATGCCAAAATTTCACAATTTCTGACAGAGTATGCAAACTTTTGAGCACAATTGTAAAGCAAACCAGTGATTTGCTCATGCATGGTTGCTGCTTCATTTGCCCACTAGAAATGAAAAAGGAAACTGTGTAAGCTCCAAGTGAGTCACAGGCCATCTCATACGTGAATGTACCAGGTAACTTCAACTGGGAGAAAGGACCAGAACAAGAGTAAATATTGACAGTTAATATGCTAACAGTGGGGAAAATAAGGTGAGCAGAGAGGTGGTCCTTATCACTGTGCTGCCGCTCCTTCATTGTCCATTTACCAGGCTGGGTGTCTTTTTGGACAGTGTTTATGGCCAAGTGCTGCTTTCAAAGTGGAGGTTGATTTTTATGTTTTTTGAGTGTACTTTTAGAGATGCCTGGATCACAAAACTGACTGCTTAGGTTTGCAATGTTTTTGAGATGTAAAACATTTCTCTCATATGCGGATGGATTTATCAGTTTGCTTGAAGTTCAGCTTCAGACACCTGCAGGGTAAATTCTTGAGAGTAGCTAGTCAAGTTGTCACCCAAGGCAGTTTTTTGGGAAAAAGCAGAAAACAATTTTGATATGTGTGGTAGGTCACAGAAAAGAACACTTTAGATATGTTTTGGGTTTTTTTTCTGTTTCACATATCATCGGTTAATCTGTCGACTGACCCTCTGTTCGTAGGAGATTATCCTGAAATGTGCGCTGTTTGTGCCCAGTACACTGAACTATATAGCCAATGTTATTGAAGGAGTCTGTTATATTAAAGCCATTTGTCATCCCCCTTGTAATTATGTACATCTATCTTCAGTGTTTCATTTACCAGTCTGTGTAGCTGTTGAGGAAAATATGTATATTCTCATTTTTTTCTTTAAAGGCTGCAAGGGACTAAAGTTATAGACAACAGTTTTAATAGTGTTATTAGAGCTAAATTAAAATATTTTTCTTAAATGGTTAGTTCACCTTTACAAAAACCTGTTTATGTAGGTGTTTGTAGATAAAAACAAATGGTGCAGCTCTGACTAAAGTTGAATAATGCTCTTGCTGTAGGTGTAGGCTGTTTGCATACCTCATGACTGGAGTACTCTCAAGACTTTGCAAAGCACGGCCTAGCTGTTACTGCTCCCTTTCACACCATCACAAGAGTGAGCTTTTTTTCTGATTCAAATGATTCAAACCCCCTCACATGCTCTTTCTCTCCCCTGTTGCAGTAACTCTGAGCTCAGCATTTGTGAATTCCTCTGGTGCAGGATGTGAGCAGTAAAGACTAGGCCTAACTTAGCAACGTCCTAGCAATAAATCAGCTTGGACCATTGTAACAACGCTTCCCTGCCTTTTGACCTCCTCCAACCAGAAAACACTTTGTATTGATTGCGCAAATGCAAAATGATCACTGGATGGTGTTCCCTTTGCAGTTTCCCAGTTCGGCTGATCCTCTTGTAAGCCATACCTGGACCCTGCCATGATGAAGATGCAGGGCCTGCCTGTAATATGAGCTTCAGGCACTGGACCCTGCTACTGGCACCCCCCCCCCACCTTTTTCTACAAGACTTAGTTTTATCCCTCCAAGTGGATAACACTTTGCAGAATTTGTGTGGCGACATTTCAGTGTCATATACTTTGATATTCTTTATTGATATGTGTTGCATTCACCTGGCAGTATGCAGTTGGTCTCCTGCTATTCTCTGAGGGCTAAAGCTTTGGAGTCTTGGGCTGTGGGACAATGTACAAGTTGCAAACACCTCATTAATTACAGCAGGTTTTTTTTTACGTTTACTTTTTTTTTATTGCTGCACCACATTGCCTTGCGTGCATGCGCATGCTATTCCTGTCTCTCCCACATTTGGCTTGAGAAGAATTACCTTTGGTTACTTGTGAATATAAATATGCTAATACCAATATTCCCAAAAGTATATATCACACAAATGTATTTAAAAAAAAAGTCCAAAAATAGATAAGATTAAAATAAATATAATATAAAAAGTCACTCTGTGCCAACTTCAATCCTCAAACTTCATATTCAGCCTTTCAATGGCTCACAAAGAAACCTCAACATAAAAAGAAAAATCACATAGTGCATTGTCTTAAATAAAATATAAATGAAACAGATGTGATAAACGCAAACAACCATGCGTGATCACAAATAGTGAAAAAAGTGAAAGTTTCAAAACCATGCCAGTGAATCAATCGAGTGAAAAATATACATCCAAAAAACAGCCTGTGAAACACTGTGTCCACATCTATGGTGTAAGGAGTGAATACCCTTACCAAAAATATGTAAATAATATGCCCTTACACCTCCCGGCGAGAGTATTATCACAAATTCCGCTTCAACCAAAGGATCATCACAGCCTCATGGATCAGATCAAGATGTCATCCAGATATAGCAGCTTTCAAGTATAACCATCAATCTCCACCAATCCACCGATGCCCACCATATATAGAATAAATCATAGTGTGAACCCGCATAAACAATTTAAATACTTTATTGAATATTCTTACATAATGATTCCTCTTTAAAATAGCCTTTATCAGAATATCCAAACCTCTGAGTTCCCTGGTTCCTCCACGTGAACTTCTATTAGGTTTTTCCAGATTCTAAAATGGCCACTGGATCACTTCCGGTTCCTCTATGCGTCTGACATCACTTCCCTTGACATGTTTCGTCACCTACGCACGTACGCAAACCGGAAGTGTCGCCGCGGCCATTTTGTTGGTTATCCACACATGGTTTTCTGCATTTGTTTGTTGGAACTTGTATAGGAGCCATGTCTGGAGCTGGAATTTCTAAATTTTAAATGTAAGTGGCTATTAAAATTTTCCCTATACTTTGAATATGAGTCCTGAGACCCTTCTTGTCTTTCTGAGGACCTTGGAAAAATATCTTTGAAGAGAGAATGGAAGATCTCTGATCCATAATGCTGTTAAGCTGATTATATACACACAGAGGGTAATAGCATTTAGTACTATTGGTGCTGGTTTTTGGTGTATGCACAGTGTTGCAGTGTTCACAGAGTGCCCACTGTTTAATTTGTACTACATATGTGCACTATATAAAAATTTTTTTTTTTTTTTAAAAGGCTTTTTGGCACATTTTTAAGTGGTTGAGTTTTTGCACTGAGTGATTATTCCTTTATATAAAGGTAATGCACTAGAGTATTTTATTTTTTTATTTTTTGAGGTTCTTACTGAATAGAATAGAATTCAATCCTTCCTATTGGATGAAAAAGTTTGGAAATCTGGGACCTTTTTGAACACTGGACTTTTCTTTGGACTTTTTTTTTTTGGACATTTTTTTGGGGATTTCTGAGATTTTATATGACACTTTAGGGTCTAATTGTATTATTGTATCACAAAAAGGGTATATTATATGTTTCGTCACCTGACTTAATCATAAGGGATCGATTTGGTTACTTGTTAGGGTCCCAGGGCAGTCCTCCTTGCTCCTACCTACAGAGATTTAGTCACAGAAGATCACATAACCTCTCCTGCTTCTGCAGCTGAGTCGTGTATTCTTTGAAATATCTCACTTTTCCATAATATCACGGATCATAAGTGCAAGGGCCTTTTCTGCTCATGATTCAGTAACAGCTGCGGAAGGGGGGTGGCATGCAGCATTCCTCCTCTTGGACCTGACACCAACAGCCTGGTAACTGTTATAAACCATCATAGATCTTTCTTGCAAACAGCAATGTTCTAAAAGATTTTGTATTGACAGCCTTTCAATGTTCTGATCCACAGGTTCATTCATTGCACAGATGATTCTCCTGACCCAAATGTAAAGTATGAGGTAAGCTAAATTTGTATGTGGATAATTTTTTAACCAGAAAGAAGTTGTGTTTGTGCATCATTCTTTAAAGTGTTACTAAACCCACAACCGTAAAATCAGTGTGTATATGCAGTAAAGCATGCTTGTTGTTCTCACTGTGGAACCTAAGTGGTTAATCCTCCACATTATCTAAAAAGACTGTTTAATCCTTTCTTCTCTGATCCTCCCCTTCTACTGTCCCCAATCCATTTGCTGATAGTACAGAGCTCTAGGAGCCACTCTGCACATGCTCAGTTTAGTGTGTATGGCTAGCGAGTTTATTTTGCTTTTTTTTTTTTTCTTCTTTGGGAGAGGGCATGTGATCAGCACAGGGCCAATTAGCACTGTCCAGACAGAGGGTCATGGGTCATTCAGCCTCATAGGACAGTTGGAGGAGAATAATTACTTCTCCTTTTACAAGATTTAACCAGTGCTCAGCTGGACACTGATGGAAGTCACAAGGCTGCTTTATACTACTTATGAGAAAAGGTATTTAGCAGTTTATATTTACTAAAATTATTGCATTTCCATGTTCTGTGTACTGTGGGAGACCAGATAGAGTGAATGCGGGGTCCTGGGTTTAGTAACACTTTGAACTTGTACTTCTTCAGTTTGAAGAGAATGTATAGTGTATTTTGTTTTAATTTGCTTGTTTGTCCTTGAACCACAATTGCAAGGATGAGAATGTATTTTTGTCAGCATAATTTGGTCTCAGCATCATTTGGTAAATTGCTCACTTTTTGAATTGTAACCACCTTGCAACTTTCCAAATACTTATTTGGGGGGATGTATTAGAATGTTTGTACAGTATATTTTTTTTATTATGTTCAGGAATAAAACATTAAATATTCAGGAAACACTGCTTTGCTGAAACAAAGACTGCACCCCCTCTTTTTTTTTTTTTCATTGTAGGACTCCATATAGAACTTTAATTTGAGAGAGACAGTCACAAATAAAGAATCCACTGCTGTTCTCTCCCTTTAGAAAGCTTGAAATGCTATGCAAGCCCAATGACAATATATAAAAATGTATTTTAACATAAAGATGTATAAATAAAGAAATCATCAGTTATATAAATACAATAAATAAAGTATGCTTTAAAACCTTAATAATTATCAAAATCGTAACACCCATTCTTTATAAATATTAAATTAGGTTTTCCATTATAGCATTGAAATAATATTGGTAGATTGTGTATTAACTTGGCTGTAATTCAAGTATTTGCTTCCCTGTCTGATCTGAATGAAAATGACCACCAGTGTTATGACCATGTCAAAGCTACAACTGATAATTTCAGATAAAACAGATAATCCTGTATAATAATGCCAGTGTTGAAAAAGGTATAGAAGTTAATACACGTGGGCATTATGGACCTGCAGTTAGAAATTAAGTGGAAAAATGCTTTGTTGGTTTTTGTGTAAACAGCAACCTCCTCAATGTGTATATGTTCTACAGCCAGCCAAAATAGCACTTATACAGTATACATAGATGATACCAGCTGCACTTTGTTACTAAAGCTGACTATACACTATACAATCTGGAGAAATTCTTTTGGCAAATCAAGATGACAGCTTTAAATCCTGCATCTGTGAAAACGTGAAGTTAGCAATGCTAATAACCTCAGAGCTTCACTTAAAATATGAAGAAAATTAAAGCCATCATGCCACAGAAATGTGCCCTAGGAAACAGCCTTTTGGAATGAAATTGTGAAAATTGTTTTGAAATACTAAATGTTAATGATGGAGATATAGAGGGACTTCAATACCTTAAAAAAAATATTTTACGGAGTAAAGGTAAAAAAAAGAGTAAAGAAATGAAAGAAGGATGTACAAAAAAAAAAAACCACAGGCCTTATGACAGCTTAATTAGAGGGCAGAGGGCAGGTAGAAAAGACAAGGATCAGCATTACAGCAATATTTGAACAGAAGATAAGCTTCAGTATAACTGTGGAGCCGGAAGGCTACTGATTGAACTATAATTTTATCTTCTTTTGAAACTAGTTAAGATTCTCACCAAATATTTCTAACAAGTGTAAGGTAAACAGGAAAATTGCCAAATGACCAAAGTAGAGTTTGCGTACCTAAGGAACAGACAGCCTAAGAAACTATTGTACCGCTTCCTTATTGGCACACAACAGTAAGGTAACATAAGAGATTGTAAAAAAAAAGGATATTTATATATAGAGAATTGCCCAGTTTACAGTCAGGTTTCAATTAACAGGTCATATGCTCCTGTTAATTGAAAAAGCAGATCGCTACCAGAAATTGCCATGTGCTTTATTGACTTCAATAAAGTCTTTTATTTGTGAGGATCATGTCAAAATATGGAAACTCCTCAGGACAGGGAATCCACCAGAATATCAGATTATTATTATATAAAAGGTACCTCCGTTTTGAAGCTACAGTGATGACAGAGCATGGTGAAACAGGCCAGGTTTTCTACTGAATGGGAACACTGCAAAAAAGCATGTATTGCGTTTTTGCCGCGTTTTTGATGCGTTTTGGATTTTTTTTTCTCCTTGTTGCTATGCTGATTTTAAACTCAAAGCGCACCAATGCAAAAATGCAATACATGCTTTTCTGCAGCATTCCCATTGAGGTCTGTAGATCCAAAAATGCAATGTTTTACGTGAAAAAAAGTTCCTGACCCTTTCCAAAATACGCACAGGGTGAAAACGCAGAGTCGTGAACCTGTCCCATAGGAAATCATGTTAACCTCCCTGGCGGTATTTCCAAGTGTAGCTTGGGGTAAAGTTTTCAGCACCAAAAGCGGTAACCCCGAGCTACACTCTGGAATACCCTGCAGCATTGCTCCAGGATCCCTTCCGCACTTGCCTTGTCCTGCGGACCCACGATCTCCCCCCTGCAGTGTCCCTTGCAATGTCCTCCAGCCTCATATATTAGTTTCACCTTTAAGTTGCATTACTGAAATAAATGAACTTTTGCATGATAATATTCTAATTTTTTGAGTTTCACCTGTATATATATTGGAAATTACGTAGCTTTTACTTTCTGACTGCCTATCACATTTCTTGAGGTGCTAAAATGCCAGGGCAGTACAACCCCCCATGAACTCTTTTTGGAAAGTAGACACCCCAAGGATTTTGCAGAGAGGCATGTTGAGTCCATGGAACCTTTTTGTTTTTGCCACAAATTTTTTGAATATGACAATTTTTTTTCGCACAAAGCTGTCACTTTAATGATATATTGCTCATGCATGCCATGGGTATATGTGGAATAACACCCCAAAACACATTCTTCTACTTCTCCCAAGAATGGGAATACCACCTTTGAGAGGCTTTTTGGCAGCCTAGCTACATAACAGCCCCCAAATACAATGACCACCTCCAGGCTTTCAAATGGCATATTTCCTCATATCACTTTCCCACTACCTATCACAGTTTCAGAGGATGTAAAATGCCAGGATAGTACAAACACCCCCCCCCCCCCCCCCAAAGTACCCCTTTTTGGAAAGTAGACACCCCAAGGAATCTGATAAGAGGCATGGTGAGTATTTTTGTCACAGGGTTTTGAAAAAGAGGAAAAGAAAAGAAAAACATGTGGCAACAAATGAGTTCTGCAAATAGCTTGGAGTGTTTACTTTCCAAAAAGGGGTCATTTGGAGGGGTTGCTCTTACTATCCTGGCATTTCAGGGCCAACATTAGAAGCTTATGCCACACATCACCCACTCTTGAAGACCAAGCCTTTTCTGACACTTTGCTCACATGAAAAAACTGTTTTTTTTTTTTTTTTGCTAGAAAATTATTTTGAACCCCCCAAACATATATTTTTTTTTAAAGCAGAGGCCCTAGAGAATAAAACGGTGGGTGTTGAAATTTTTAACATCACACAGTATTTGTGCAGAGATTTTTGAAACGCAAATCTTTTGAGAAAAATACACTTTGTAGAATTTTAATGCAGAAAAACACAATTGTTTGAGAAAATATAAAAGATCTTACGTTGAGTAAATTGATACCAAACATGACATGCTTTAAAATTGCACATGCCCCTGCAATGGCAACAAAATACATACATGTTTATTATCGATAGACAATGCTTTAAAAATTATATTTACCAATTTATATTTATAGTCACCAATTTATATTTACACAGGAGTTTTAGTGCTACAATTACTGCCTTTGATCTGACGTTCGTGGCGATACCTCACATGCATGGCGCAACCGCTGTTTACATACCGGCACGGGGTCAACGCTTGTGCACGCAAGTGCGTGAATGCAGGGGGGGCAGGGTGCTTTTTTTGTTTTTGTTTTCTTTTGTTATTTTTGATTTGTTTTATTATTTTTACACTGTCCCTTTCATTTTTTAAATCCTTTTTAATACTGTCACAGGGAATGCAAATATCCCCTATTACTTCAATGGGCATTGTCATAGATTCTTTTTTTGTGAAATCTGGGGTCTATCAGACTCCTAGATATCTCCTCTGCTCTTACATCATCTAATCTCACCAAGAACTGTGTGATCAGATGCTTTCCCAATTTACAAATGGCACTGTTTTATATCCTGCAAAACTGAAGTGATGAAATGCTTGTAGCTTTTGATTTCTTAGACTATAGAGATGGTTGGAGTCATTCTGGTCTCTGACCAGCTCTATGGTCAGCCAGCGAAACTTCCGGCAGCATTCTCGGATTCCCCTGTGGGACAGGAGAGCCCAAGAAAACTGGAAGGCAATTCAGCAGCTAATTGGTCACTAGGATTGCTTTTACATGAAAGCTGACCGCCAACTGAAAAAAACAATACCAGGATGATGCCTGTAGCTGCAGGCATCATCCTGGTATAACCACGCAAAGTCCAGCGACGTACCAGTACATTGCTGGTCCATTTTGGGCATATATGTACCAGCAGAGAACACGGGCATACGATAAATTGGCTCTGTGGATCAATATGACCACAATTCATTCTTTTTTGTAATGCCAAAGTTGAGGATTAGGCCCAAAAGAGTTTTCAATTCGTAAACCGTGATAGGTCTCCATGTGAATTGTCTGGCAAGAGCTGAATTTGGGTGCGCGGAGATGTATTGTTGTGCGTATAAATTGCCTTGGCCCACAAGCAATTGATACAAATCTTCCGTGAAAAACAGCGGAGAGGCTAAATGCTAGTGCTGGCAGAGAACGGGACCGATCCTACTAACTCGTTTTTGGAGACACTATACAGTACAAAGAAGGCACTAGTATAGTTTCTGTATGTGATCAATATCTTGATCAAACACTATACTAGTAATAGCGGTGATCAGCGACATATAGTGTGTGGGCAATCTAACGCTAGCTAACCCTGGCTGGGTGGGGCGCTTACAGACCCTGATGCTATCTGATGTCGCTAGTGGCAGGAATACAGTGATCAGTGAAAAATTCTATACACTGACACTGTACTAATGGCACTGGATTGGGTGACAGGCTGAACAAAGGGTTAATAGGTGTGTAGGTAGGTAGGTGTGTCCCCGTTCGTCCCAGGACTGGCGGGGGCGCAGGTGCGTTCACAGCCCAAAATAGGAAGTGACGCAAGATTACGTTGCTTTGCCAAGAGCTGCTACTTGCCCGCAAAATGTAGATAAGGCGTTGGCAAGTAGTTAGAAAATTTTTTTTTTTTTTTCTCAATATTGTATTTTTTTTAATACTTTTATCAGAATAGTACAATGTTACCATAGTAACTTTGTACTACTGTGGGGGCTGATCAGGGATTTTTTTTTTGTTTGTTTTTACACTTTGCTTTGCAGGAGAAATAGAGTTAATTTCTCCTGCAATGCAAAGCTTGCTGTCATGAACCTAACTCATTCATGAAGTGAATAGTGATCTGTTATTGGCTGGAGCTGGTCTCATGGTACAGGGTGCTGTGATTGGCCCCATGTATCATGTGACAGCTTTGGGCCAATCACAGCTCACTAAGAAGGGGAGCAGAGCTGTTATGAATGAGATTGATTCATAACATTTTTGTTACATGTTCTACCGATACCTTACATTTGTACAAATGGCATTGACAAAAAAAGGAATATTAAAAACCTCTGATCAATTTTTGCAAATAAAATTGCTTTCTGGGAAGTTGCAGTGATCAAATCTGTCTTTTTACATTAGAAGTATGCAAATTATATATATATAATATATATATATATATATATATATATATATATATATATATATATATATATATTTATATTTCTCTAGACAGGCAATCACTGGTAGTGGGTTTTCAGGCCACTTCCATTTCTGGCTCTTATTAAAGTCTCACACACTGTGACTCTCTGAAGTTGTATGACAAGTACAGCATGAGCTTAAGTGACAATTATGGTGAGTGGATATAGATGTGAGGTTTTGGGAATAATTGGTAAGTATGAGCAACATTTTAAAGGCACATTGCTATTTAGAAATTCCTAGCATTCTGGCAGCGGTTATTTCAGAATTAAAGATTTTTTTCTTTTTTAAAATTGAATGCTTCAACGATGAACCCAAAAATGCTTTGATATTTTTTTAATGAAAATCTAAAAATGTTATACTTACCTGCTCTGTGCAGTGGTATTGTACAGAGTAGCCCCTTACCTCAGCAAGCAGTCTGAGGAGGGGCAGCCATGCGAGCACGCTCCCAAGCCAGGCTGTGTGCATCTACAGATACACACAGTGCAGCTTTGCCACACACGCCCACTCTCCCCCACAGTATTTGACTGACAGCAGCAGGAACCAATTGCTTCTGCTGCTCTCAGAGTCTCCTGTGAGAAGAGGGAGAGTGAGCAGTGGCACTACAAACAAAAGAGCACTAGATCCAGAGATGACTACGTGTTTAGGGATGGGGTTAGGAGAACAGATAGTGGAAAGTTTTTTTACCTTAGTGAAAAGAATGCATTAAGGTAAAAACCTTTTGAGTTTGTAACCACTTTAAAAAACGCACACGTCTATTTTTTGTCATGTGTTATGTAAACTGGAAGATAATTGTTAACCAAAAAAGTGCTGGAAAATATGGATTTAATTTTATTTTTCCTTTGTTGTCATTCATTCCTAGAGTCACATGAACATTTGTTACTGTACCTGCACAAAATCTGCATGTATTTAACCACTTGCCCTCCTGAGGATTTATCTCCCCTTCCATGCCATTTTTAGCGATACGGTGCTGTGGTACTTTAACTGACAATTGCGCGGTCATGCAACACTGTACAAAATAAAATTTGTTCTTTTTTTTCCCCACAAATAGAGCTTTCTTATTTGATCACCTGTGCACTTTTTATTTTTTTTGCGCTATAAACAAGAAAAACTATTTTGAAAAAATGTATATATATTTTTGACTTTTTGCTATAAAATACATCCAATAAAAAATGTAAAAAATATAATTTCTTCATAAAATTTAGGCCAAAATGTATTCTGCTACGGTTTTTTTTAAAATTCCCAATAAGTGTATTTTAATTGGTTTACGTGAAAGTTACATCTACAAATGGTGGTAATATATAGGAATTTTTTATTTTTTTCATACTAGTAATGGGGGCGATCAGCGACTTATAGTGGGACAGCAGGAGGCATTCTGACACTGTGTGGGACCCGGTGCATGACATCCCCAGCAGCCAATAGCGACATGAGTAGGGTGCACGCCCCCTACCTGGAAATGCAAATCACGTATATATACATGATTTTGCGCAGCCCTGTAGCAGTACTATAGGGCGGAGGGCAACTGGTTAATATATGGTTACAGAATATACTTTCATTTTATAACATCAGTGTTGTAATAGCAATAAAAACAGTAGTTATATTTTGACAATCCGATATAAGCTTGAAAAATCCCCTTTCATGCTGTGAGTTCTGTCTGTCTACTGGTCACCTCTTTCCACAACTTCCTGGATTACCTGCATGCTTTGTAGCTTTTCCTCTACTGTTTAATTTTGATTTCTAAGAACTACATATCCCATGGTACCTTGCTGTGTGCAAGCAGTGACTGCTGTACTGACTCCACCTCCTGAAACTCCTCCTCTCAGCACCTCTGTAGATCAGAAGGCAGCCTCTATGAAATGTGTGACACAGCAGTGCCTACTTAGAGGGCATAGTAAATACTTGTCTTGGAGTTCAAGGAAGTAAATGTGTGGGATTCTTACACAAAGTAAGTTTAAAAACGTCATAATTGTTGAGATTAATATGATTAGGTCAGAAATAATTGAAATAAAATGTGGAATGAGTATATGATTTTACATTTTGACTATAGAAGCTATTTGAGCACTCTGCATTTAATGCAGTGATATGAATAGGCTCCATAGGAATGATTGAGTTTCCCTGCCTGGTGTCCCTTTTACTCTTGGAAAATATACAGATGTGAATGAGCCCCTAATGTAGGTTCAGCCTTCTTTCTGGTACACCCAATGCATATATGACCCCCCGACCTGTTAGTAACCAGGACAGAAAGTGAGAAATCTTGCTTACAAGGACATAGAACAGTAAAAAAGTCACAGAATCGAACTCTTCTCCACTGTGTCCAAATGACAGATTAGGCTGAAGTTGGACTTCAAGGACTTTTTTTATTTTTATTGAATTCAGAGTGATGGTTATATGTTAATATAAATTACTTAATAACCCATTCTATATGTCATGTAAATGTTTTCCCTTGTTTTGCAGCTGTTATATACATTTTGTATCATGCCTTATGAAGGACTCAAATTATTTAGTTGGCTAGAACCAGCTGTATAATTTTTATGTCATGTATGTCATTTGTAAATGCAGAAAGACTGAATGAGAAAATGTGCTGTTTTTTAGCCATGTTTAAATTCAATTATTTTAAAAGCAAATTTCCTATAAAACACTTTTTGTTTCTTTGCCAGACATGAGGGTGATGCTTTTCAGCACAACCACAGCTCTTATGACATATTTTTTACAGAGAGAGAACTTTACAGAGATTTATTTAGTAACCAAGCAGACATCGGCTTTTACCATTATGCCTTCAATACTCTAAAGAAATGTAATTGGTTGACATGTGCGAGTGTGTATCCTTGTTGTTTGCACTACTCTGTTAATTATGAGTTATTTGTCTAACATTTTATAGATGTTCATCTTCTGTGAACAGCACTGTCAATTCCACATAGATATACTGTACTTCATAATGGACTGAATTTAAAGAACGTGGTTTAGATTCTTTTTTTTTTTTATTTCCCTCTAGCTTGTTCTAAGGAAATGGTGTGAGTTGATTCCAGGTGGAGAATTTAGATGCTTTGTTAAAGAAAACAAACTAATAGGTAAGCTTTTCCAACCCCAGGAGCACTCCACATTTGGATATAACCGTTTAACTATCTGGAAGTTTTTTCCTTTCATCAATATGTAACATTTGGTTATGTTCACGTTTCCCTAAGATGCATAAACTTCATCTTCTATTTTCTTAGGGTGTACCACTGCATTTCAACCCTTCTTAATTTGCACACAACGAATATTTGCATTACCCATACCTGTTTTACAGTGTGTAACAAACCACAGATGCACAGGCTACATTCTGAGAAATAAACTCTTTTTAATTACTATATTTTATTAAAAAGTAATGGATACTTACATTTCAGGTTGAAGCCTAGGCATGCATATAAATATTGCCATGTTCTACTGTATATTTACTTATATTTGTTTAAATGGTGTTTTGGTTGCTCTTTGGCTCGTGTTCATGTGATGATTTCCAACTGTGTTTAAGTTTTAACATGTGTGTAAAATAAATGTATTTCTTTAAAATATGTCAGTTACGTGTTTTGCTGAGTTTGGGAAATGTTGCTCTTTAATGTTTATAATAACAAAAATATGAATGTTTAAGTTTGTAAAAATGTTGTTCTGTGAAACAATCAAAGATTTAGATTTGACTAAGCACACACACATACACACACACTTATCTCAACACTTTGTTTTAGAGGTCAGCCAATGAACTACAAGTCCCGACATTGCGGCTGTCGGTTTGTAGTACTCAGTGAACTACCATGACGTTGTGGAGTGCCGTGGTTGTTCGTTGATTTTTTCCTGTCAGTATATCTGCTTGCTTGTACATCCTGTATGGGCAAGCAGATATACTGACAGGTCTGCAGGAGACCTGCACGACACCAGCAATCTGCTGATTGCTGGTGCAATGCTTTAGAGGGTTTAGAAACAAAAAATAATCAATGCACATTTTCTACCTGCAAAAAAATGTGCATTTATTATTTTTGAGAAAGGTAAACTTGTCAACTTATCCTTTAATGCTCCAAGAATCATTCAAGTGAATCTGGTGAAGTGTTCGTGTGATGCATGCAACACGTGTGCATTTTTTTGATGGTTTTAATGTATTTCAGGCCTGGTTCACAAAAGTGCAGTTTGCGTTTTGTCTGTTTTGCAGTGCGTTTTGCATTTTTGCACGTGCATTTTTCTTGCATTTTATTAATGCGTTTTGTGTTTTTTGAATGTTTTTATTTATTTTTTGGGCAACTTGTTGCTGGGCAGATTCAAAATGCATCAAAAACATGGCAAATGCATAAAAAATGCACTACGTGTGTTTTCTGCAGCGTCTTCATTGAAGTCTTTTGAACCAAAAAGTAACATTTTGTTTTTTTTAAAAAAGTCCCTGACCCTTTCCAAAAACTCAGCAGCTCAAAAAAGCATAGGTGTGAACACTTTCCATAGGAAACCATGTTAAATGGACTGTAGTGCGTTTCTTCAAAAAGCACTAAAAAACGCATCGGTGTGAACGGAGCCTTAAAGGTCAACTTATCCGTTAATGGTTACCTAAACTGTCCACTTCAGATGGATGAATTAGATACTGCTTACAACGAATACGTGTTCATACTAGAATTAGCTACACTCCAGAGATTTGCTCTTGGGTAATATATAATCTTTGTTTTTAATATTTATGCAGAGTTGATATAGAGCACAAGTGTAGCTCAATATAAATACACACCAATTGCAGTCTATTTGTTGAATACAAAAATAGATAAGTGTGAAATCAGAATTGCAATCTGCTTTCCATAGATAATATACAGTAGATATTTGTTGCTTTATCTGCTGTATTGTTCTGCTTAGACAGCTTAAGCCAACCATCGATGCAGCGAATCTTGTCCAGTTCAGCAGGGACACTCCGAGATTCGATCCATCTATCGTTTTCAGTACAACCAGCCTGTGGGATTTTTTGCATTTGATTACTGCTAGCAGATATAGCTGCCAGCAGTAATCATTATGATTTGCTGGCAGGGAATGCTCTCTGCCGGCAGAAAACAATAGCACTGCGGCAGCGATTTCCCCAATCAATACTGACTGTGTCCCCCCTCTACATAAAAGCTGGTGCTGACAGCAAGTCATGTAACTGGACTCAAGCGATCTCAGAATAGGTAAGTATAGATATCTTTCTTTTTACAGGGTATAAAGATCAGGCTTAGAATGAAGGTGGGAGTAGATTTAAGTTTTAGTTTCCAATTAAGGTTTTGATCTCCAATTTAAGCTAGCCATATGTTAGTAGATTTTCATAAGAATGTTTGTACAAATAATCGTACAAAAATTTGTAGGAAAATTCTCAGTACTTTCATCAGCTTGACAAATATTGCTCAAAAGTACTTAGAAATGTTGTTTACTTTTAACAATTGATTTTGGAATGAATGGACTTTTTTGGACAAAAACTACATAAACTGTTAGTAATTTGTTCATTCAAGAAAAGAAAAAAAAAATATCCTGCTGCTTCATATTTTTTATTATCTCCTGATAGAATAGAGTCTTGGGGGCAAGCTGCACATGCTTAGTGTTGTGTGTATTGCTAGAGAGTTTTTGTTTTTTTTTTTCTTGTGAGAGTGCATGCGATCAGCACAGGGCTAATCAGCACTGTCCAGACAGAGGCTCAGGGGTTCTGCAGTCTCATAGGACACTGAAAGGAGAAGGAAAACAAGTAACAAGACTGCTATATACTGCTGATGGGAAAAGGTATTTAGCAGTTTATATTTACTAAAATAATTGCATTTCCATGTTCTGTGTACTGTGGAAGACCAGATATAGTGAATGCAGGGTCCTGGGTTTAGTAACACTTTAAGGCTGGCCATACTTGGTTTTTATTTTAATTTCTTTCTTTTTGGAGGTTGATGCAGGAATTATTTTGCTGGGACATTGGGGTCATTTCACTAAAGGTTACCACATGAGTCATTTGCATAAAATATTGCATGCGTTAAAAAATTGCTCAATTCACGCAAAACATGAACGATTATGCAGTGTTTAATTTATAAGAATGTGTCAGTAAATATTGCAAAAACCAATTGTTAAGGTCATTTCATAAATGGAAAAGGAAGTTAAAAAAGGCGTGATAATTATCTCCAGGGTTTTGCTGGCGGTATCATAGGCGATGAGGGTGTTGGAGTCTGGTTGCAGAGAGAGCCATAGAGGTGTCTGAGTGCAATCTGCTGCAGTTTAACCTCCATGAGGAGGATTAGAAGGAAGAGAAGAGTTGTCATAATGGCACCCAGGCATTTTCCTGAGCGCACTTTATTGGATGACTTCAGATGTTGAAGCCCTGAAAAAGTTTAGTCTGATGTAGGACCTCATTCTCGCCCTTTACGTTAGATTGCGTTTTGTGTTGGAGACCACCACCCAGCAATACCTGACATGACAAAATTGTTATCGGTGCTCCATTTCCTGGAAAAAGCCTCCTTCCAAAGGGTTGCTGGTGAATTGATAGGAATGTCGCATGCTTCTTTTTCTCGTGTACTGGGAAGAATTCTACCTGATTTCCATAGCATAGCGGCTACCTACATATATATATTCCAACATCACGCCAAGAGGGGGATCAAATCAGAATTGGATTTTATACTATGACATCAATCCCCAATGTATTGGGTGCAATAGATTGCACATGTCCCTTTATTCTGTATGTTGTACACAGGCACATGTGATACAGTTGCAAGAAAAAGTATGTGAACCCCTTGGGATTACGTGGAGTTTTGCATAAATTGGGCTCTGAACGTCATCTAAGTCACAACAATAGAAGAACACAGTCTGCTGAACATAATACTACACAAACATTAGATGTTGCCATGGTTTAATTGCACATAACATGTAAACATTCACAGTGCAGGGAGGAAAAAGTATGTGAGGCCCTAGCTTAATGAGTTCTCCCAGAGCTAATTGGAGCCAGAAGTGAGCCAACCTTGACTCCAATCAGTCTGATGATATTGGATGTGTTGCTGACAGCTGTCCTGCCCTTAAAAAACACACACCTGTTTCGGGTTTACTGGTTTCAAGAAGCACTGTCTGATGTGAACCATGCCTCCCAGAAAAGAGCTCTCAGAAGACCTACGATCAAGAATTGTTGACTTGCATGAAGCTGGAAAGGGTTACAAAAGTATCTCCAAAAGCCTTGATGTTCATGTGTCCACGGTAAGACAGACTGTCTGCAAATGGAGAAAGTTTAGCACTGTTGCTACTCTCCCTAGGCGTGGTCGTCCTGTAAAAATGACTGCAAGAGCACAGCGCAGAATGCTGCATGAGGTAAAGAAGAATCCCAGAGATTCAGTTAAAGACCTACAGAAATCTCTGGCACATGCTAACATTTTTGTTAACACATCTACAATAACGAAAACATTAAACAAGAATGGAGTACATGGGAGGACACCACGGAGGTAAATTAATATTGCAGCACGTTTGAAGTTTGCAAAAGGAGCACCTGGATGTTCCACAGCACTACTGGCAAAACATACTGTGGACAGATGAAACCAAGATTGAGTTGTTTGGGCAGAACACACAACACTAACTGTGGAGAAAAAAAGGCACAGCACACCAACATCAAAACCTCATCCCCACTGTAAAACATGGCGGAGGGAGCATCATAGTTTGGGGCTGCTTTGCTGGCTCAGGGCCTGGACGGATTGTTGTCATTGGTGGGAAAATGAATTCCAGAGTTTATCAAGACATTTTGCAGGAAAACGTACGACCATCTGTCCGCCAACTGAAGCTCCGCAGAGGATGGGTGATGCAACAGGACAATGACCCAAAGCATACAAGTAATTCAACAAAACAATGGCTGCAACAGCACAGAATACGCCTTCTGGAGTGGCCCAGTCAGAGTCCTGACCTCAACCAGATTGAAATGCTGTGGCATGACCTTAAGAGAGCGATTCACACCTGACATCCCAAGAATATTGCAACACTGAAACAGTTTTGCGAAGAGGAGTGGTCCAAAATTACTCCAGATTGTTGTGCAGGTCTGATCTGCAACTACAGGAAACGTTTGGTTGAGGTTATTGCTGCCAAAGAAGGGTCAACCAGTTATTAAGTCCAAAGGTTCACATACTTTTTCCTCCCTGCACTGTGAATGTTTACATGTTATGTGCAATTAAACCATGGCAACATCTAATGTTTGTGTAGTATTATGTTCAGCAGACTGTGTTCTTCTATTGTTGTGACTTAGATGACGTTCAGAGCACATTTTATGCCCAATTCATGCAAAACTCCACGTAATCCCAAGGGGTTCACATACTTTTTCTTGCAACTGTAAAAGACAGAACACTAATATGCGCTAATTATTGCATTAAGGACTCTTTACCACATGCGTTATTTAACAAAAATTGCATGAGTCATTTTACTGCCTTTTTTAATAGTTATTTAACTCTTCGTAAATTGACCCTATTATGTTTAGAATACACTGATCAGTGCCTGCAGTTGTTGATCACTGGAAATTTTTTTTTCAACCTGTCAATCTTGCATCTTTTTCTGTTTTGTCTGCCTTATGCTATCCTCACTGATGCTGCACATTTTTAAAGAAAGGTCATGTTGACACAGCTGCATTATTCAGCATGCTGGTGTGAACTCATTTCTCAGTGACAGTCAGTGACAAGTATTTAAAAAATTCAGTGGCATCAATGCAAAAATATGATGACAGTGCTATGAATAACATTTTAACCAGACTGATGTTCACTGACAAGCAGTATATGTACCTTGCTCCAGCATTGTCATGTCAACTCTTAAGTACATCCTCACAGTGCTAGTTGCTTGATGACTCAGATGTGAACTTTCCTTGTGGAGTAAGTAAGAGTATACCATTATATAGCTAATTTAGTTGGGAAGTTTTTAATACCATAGTCATTTCTTGTGTTTGTAACATGCACTATTGCACATAAGCATCAATCCAGCAGGCTGTGCAGCCTTTTAACATGACATCTGTGCCTATGGGGCTGTAATGAGTATGTAAAAACTGGCTTGGCTGAAGGTGTTCTATTTTAATCTTAATTCTCTGGATTCATACTTTTTTTTTTTTTTTCTTCAGAATTTCTTTTTTCCCTATTTTTAACTGAATAACCTCTATTTTACTGACTCAGCTGTAACTGAAGTGGGCACTGCCACTTAGAGTAGCTAACTCAACTGTCATCTACCTATATATTGAACCAGAGCACCCCGATCATGCATGTTATGTTATAATAAGTTTATCCATAGCAGTGTGGAGCACTGGACAACTTCTTCTGAGTACTGATTAAAGTTTAAGGTTTTGTGGGTTTCCCTTTAAGCAGCTCACCAGTGGACAGATTCCATAAAGCAATTCCTATTTCAATCGCTGCCTACAAATTCATGGAAAAAAGTGCCAAGCACAAGGTCTGTGTAAGTCCAAAATAAATTGTATTCAGAAGATTTATACTGTAAAAATGGGCAACTAATTTTGGGTGTTCTTTTGTAAACTGCTAATCCAAGTTAAAAGATAAAAACAATATAGTTAAACCCATCCAAGCTCCTCCACTTCGTTTTTGCTGTGCAAGGTGACAATATTGAGTTGTTTACTTTAATTGCCCATATATGAGGGGCGTTCAAGTCAAATTGGGCCTTTTAATTTACAGTTATAAAAAGGGATGCTAGAGTGGTGGTGCTACATGCATTAGTAAGTGGCAAGTGTGTCCTATTACTGATATGCGGCGCACATGTCTCGAGCCAGTCCAGAGACCATTAATCAAGATGGCAGACAACAGTGTTAGTGCGGGCATGGAAAAGCATGTAGTGATTAAGTTTCTTGTGAACGAAGGTGTAAAACCTGCAGAAGACTTCAAGCACACTACAGTGATGAGACACTCAGCCGCAGTAAGACATTTGCATGGTGTAAACGTTTCAAAGATGGCTGTACGTCTGTCAGTGACGATTTCAGCCGTGATGGTTCCCAGACCACAGCAGTCATTCCTGAAATTGTGAAATTGCACAAGAGATGAATTTCAGCACTGATGACGAAGTGAATCAGGCTGTCCTAGGATGGTTCAGGGATACTGACAAATCTTTCTATGCCGAAGCTTTCCAGGCATTATTTAAATGCTGGGATAAGTGTATAAATGTAACCGCAGAGAATGTCGAAAAATAAATGCAGTTTCCACTCCTTGAAATTTGTTATTTAATTATATAAACTCAAAAGTCCCGGTTTGACTTGAACACCCCTCATAAATCTGGGAATGTTGATACCTACAATTTAAGGGAATGGAATTTGCAAGGCTTTAAAACTGTGTAACACTTTTTTTATATTTATTACGGTTGTTAAGTTTATACATTTATAAAATGGATGCAGTCTAGAAAACAGATGATTGTTATGCATTACAAATTGCATTATAAATAATCCCTGATTATTATATCTGTTGTTCCATGTTTAGAAATTTGTGCTGGGAAAGAAGTTATTCCTTCTCCTAAAGCTTTTTGATTTGATTGTGCCATTTCTTATTCTGGTAAAACCTGGGCATGGATGGGCAGACATCTCATCAGGAGCAATGGGCGTTTGTAAGATCTGCCTGGAACAGTGACAAATGGCATCTGTTTGTGCAGTGATGGGTTTATTCCCTTTTTGCCCTGGGAATGATTGGAATCAATCACCAACCTAGTTTCAGAAGCAATGAACCTTTGGCTGCTCATTTGTGTTTCTTTGGAGAATAAGTCCCCTTTCACACAGGTGGTTAGATTTCAGCTTTTAGCTATGTTTAGAGGAACTCATTTACCGCAGCTATATGCAGACAATGCATCTTTATGGCTCCATTCACACACTGCGTTTAGTAACGTTTTCATAACATACAGTTTTATGTGTTTAGGAAAAATAAAGTTGATAGCATCCAGGAGCGATGTACTGCAGCTAACTGTACATAAACGCAGTTAATCGCAGTACAAAGAAAAAAAAATAGGTAAACCGTTGCAGCCGCATGCAAATGCACGTAATCGCAGATAAACGCAGTGTACAAACACAAGTGATCTCTGTGTCAGGAGTTGTGGATTTTCAAAATAAAAATACAGGCCTATGAATTGATTCTCTCTCCATGTGTGTGCAGCATCTGTATCATGATGGTCTGAGCAATCTTCACTCTCTTGTTCCTGCAGAGACATCTGTTTACTATGGTTAACTCAAGGTTTACCACCATGTACTGTGCGTAGTGTCACAACTGTTCACTATGGCTGTCAGCCTCATTCACTGTGCAACAATTGCCTCATTTTCTAGCAAACACACAAAGAAATGCTGCATTTTAAAATGAACTTATCAAGGAAATATTTCAACTTTGCAGGTATATCACAAAGAGATTATACACAATATTATGATCACATCTGTAAGCAAAAAGAGGACATCCAAAGATCAATACAGAAATTCTTTAAAAAAAACATCCAGTACAATTTCTTTGATGAAGACTGTAAGTATTTAATATCAAACTTTCAGCATTTCTGATCATGTGTTGTCCATCCAAACTTTTTTTTTTTTTTAGTTTAGTGTAATGCAAATATTAGCTCTGTAGAAATGCCAGTGTCTATAATGGCTGTGTGTTGAGTTATTTTGATGGGACAGCAAATTTACACTGTTATACAAGCTGTACACTCACTACTTTACATTGTAGCAAAGTGTCATTTCTTCAGTGTTGTCACATGAAAAGATAGAATAAAATATTTACAAAAATGTGAGGGGTGTACTCACTTCTGTGAGATACTGTATACACAGACACACACCTTTTGCCTGCATTTCTATTTTAAACAGTGGGTTGTTTTACAAGGTAAGGGTTCTGATATATTTTAATTTCATCATGGTGGTTGTGTTCATGTTCCCAGGCTCAGATTTCCCATTGAAAAGTAACACGTATGTTTTTCACATTTTATACTGGGTTGCCTTGAGGTTTTGCATGCTTTTAAAAGGCTGCCAAGACTAAAAATGTTAAGAAACGCTCTTTAGACTAGTGTCTAGCACTCTGCTGCTATCACTTTAAAATATGTTTCAAAATAAGTTCAACTTTTCACAAAAAAAAAACAAAAGGTGAACTAAAATATCCTGGCCAACTCTCCAAAATCCTGCTGCACTTAGGAGCGGTGACGCTTGTGCTGTCCTGATGCCTCAGATGCAGTTTTCATTCACGCGACTGCTGACCAATGAACGCTTGTCATTGAGCATTATAATGGATACTCACTCTGGGGCTGTGTATTGCAGTGTACAAACTGCTACATTTGTAGCATAGGGCCTCTCAGCTGCTATGTGCAGCAGGGTCCAGAAGGGTGGTCAATTTATTTGGAGTTAATTCACCTTTTCATTTCTTACAAAAAGGCAAACTTACCCTTGAGGTAATGGCATTTATCTGTACATTTCAGTAGCAGGTACTGAGGATGGTTAGGGGCTTAAAGAGCTTCTAAAGGCTGAAGGTTTTTTTTTTACCTTCATGTGCAGCAGCCCCCCTTAATTCTTAACTGAGTTCGATCTCAGCCCAGCGATGTGCATGGGAGACCTGGCTCTCCCAGAACTCTCCCTCCTCATTGGCTGAGACACAACAGTGGGAGCTGTTGGCTCCTACCGCTGTCATTCACATCCTGCGAGAAGAGAGCAGAAGGCAGATCCAAGCCGCACTCTGCTCTGTCTTACGAATGCAGAGAGTGGGGCTAGGGCGCGAGCTCACACCAGTGCCCCCAAAGCAAGCAACAGCAGAGAAATACAAAGCAGCATGTCTCTGTTGTAAAACAGCACACATAGTATAACACACAAAGCACACATCTAATCCTTTGCCCAAGAGTTAAGCCCTTCCTGCCCAGTGTTATTAGTACAGGGTCAGTGCTTTTTATTAGCACTGATCATTGTATTAGTGTCACTGGGGATGCCGTTAGTTCCTGCCCAGTGTTAGATTGCCCATTGCAGTCCTGCTATAAGTCTCTGATCGCCGCCATTACTAGTATAAAAAAAAGTAAATAAAAATTCCAGTATATATGCCGCCATTTGTAGAGGCTATAACTTGCAAGTAAACCAATTAATTTACAGGTATTGAGATTTTGTTTTTAGCAGAGACATGTAGCGGAATACTTTTTGGCCTAAATTTATGACGAAATTTGATTTTTTAAATTTTTTTTATTGGATATGTTTTATAGCAAAAAGTCAAAATTATTGGGTTTTTTTTTCCAAAGTGTCTGTCTTTTTTTGTTAATAGCGCAAAAAATAAAAAAAACACAGAGGTGATCAAATACCACTGAAAGAAAGCTCTATTTGTGGGAAAAAGGGACATACATTTAATTTATGAACAGCATTGCATGATAGTGCAATTTTTAGTTTAAAGTAATGCAGCACCGTATCGCAAAAAATTGCCTGGTGAGGAAGGGGGGTAAATCCTCTGGAGGGCAAGTGGTTAAAAAAATTAAAACATACCTTTTTAGTATCATTTTAAGCCAGCCATACACAGATTGAAATTTAGCTGGTTCAGCAGGGTCCAGACAAATTTCAATCCATCTATAGGCGGGGTGGTTGTACAGAAGCCGATCTACCAATCAACTGTACAACTGTCCTGTCGGATTTCCCCGCTTGATCAGTGCCACCTGCTATAGTTGGCAGCACTGATCAGTATTTTCTGACATTGGGGAAGTCTCCCTGCTGTTGGAATACAATAGCTCAGCAGGGAGGATTCCCCTATCCACATTGAGTGGATGGATGAGGGAATCCTGTACATTTTATTTATTTATTTTATTTATTTTTTTTTTGTTTAACCCGCTGGTTGAATGAAAAAAAAAAATATCTATGGGCTACCTTGGAATGTTATGTAATTTTGTTATCTTAGAGAAGAATAGTTTTATCCAGATTATTTTTCCCATCGTTGTCTACATTGCTTTCATTACATATTGCACTCGTCCTAATATCACTAAATGCCTGTTTCATCAATTCCTTCTCCTTTTTTTTTTTTTTGGAAGAGAGAATGTAGCAGATGTGCACAGTGCACAGCGACCAGTCAGCTTTTATATTTCATTTTCAAAGCTTAACTGAACAAGCTTAAAGCGGTAGTAAACTGTGGCTTTAAAACGAAAAAAAATCCCTTGCAAGGCCATTGTATAATATGCTAGTATGCATCGCATACTAGCACATTATGAAATACTTAGTCAAGCCCTCCAGCAGTGCGCTGACAGGGCTTCCATCTTCACCCGGGCTTCCTTTCGGGTTCATGAGCTGTGGCAGGTTGAATGGCCGAGCCGCTATAAAGTCACTCCTGCACATGCATGCGGGAGTCATGAGCCAGGGCACAGTGTCTGCAAGAACAGCACGGGTATGCATGTCAAAAGAGCAAATATAGGCCGAAATAAAGTCAGGTTCAGCATTTCTTATGCAGCTCACTTTACAGGGACGAACAGACAGGTAAGTAGCTTTAACGCAAGAGAGATAAAGCATGTCTCTTCTGCATTAAAAATCCTGCCTGTCCAACTATTTTCATTTTCTAGCCTAAATACATCATTGTTTAAGACCTGGGTTTAGAATATAAAAGAATATAAAAGCATTTCCATAATTTATGATGTGGCTTTTTGATCCATATCTCTGGATCAGCCAATACAGATCAAGGGTGACTATTGGAGCTAAATCACTTGCTGCAGCTGTGTCACTTAATTACTTGCCCGAATCTATCCATAATTACCTGCAACATTGCTGAATACAGTGTACATATGCCAGATATTCTTGGGCTAGTAAACACTGTGGGGCACTGATTGAGCACAGAGGAGCACCTTTCATTTTATTAGTATTCAACACTTGGGCACCTTATTTTTCCGAAATTGGACTGAATTTTACAATTCACTTTGTATATGTGAAGCATTATCACTCATGTATTGTCAAATTTAATGCACTTAATGTATGCACGGTCCACATGGTATTTTGTTCTTAAATCTCGCATGTCTTTCTATCAAATTATAAAGTAGACATTTGCTAAACATTCTAGCATCTTTGACTTTTCTTACCTGATATAAATAATTTATTCTGGGAAGTATAGAAATGTAGGTATGCTCCTGCAAACCCAGTTTTTAAAATAACTTTTATATATACCGTACATTTTATTTATTTTTTTTTTTCTTCTTCTTCTTATAGTTGTTTTTGACATATACAGAGACAGTGAGGTAAGTGAAATATTCTTTCTTTAACATGATGTATGAAAAAGCTTACACGCTGGATAAATGCATTTGTTTAACAATAATAATAATGAATAAAGATTCTCAGTTTGTGTTTTTTGTATTTGTTTATTTAAAATGTGGTATAGCACTGATTATACTGCTTTTTATGGCAACAATATTGGCAGAAAATACAGCAAGAAAAAAAATATTAATATCACAAATCGAAGGCACAGTTTAATTGCAAAAAAAAAATCCCATATTTATTACCATATAGTTGTAAGTGCAGTAGAGCTATTCTGATACAAACAAAACCCCATCAACAGCGGCCCTAACAATTAGCACATAGGAATCCTTTTAACTAGTAAGGTTGATTTGGCCTAATTTATCAAGTCATAACAGCACTTTAAAGCTGAGCTCTAGTCACAAATATAATAAGGAATAGTCTAAATGAGAAGTCCCTAAATCCTTTAGCTAATCAACCCTGTAATGATGTTTCAGATTGTTCTTTGACCTCCACACATTTATTATATAAAATAATGGAACAAATACTACAATATTTCACATTCCTCTTGTTATTAGCAGCTGCCATTGTGGTTGTTACAATGCTGAAGTTTTAGTAAATGCATAGTAATCCGTTCTTTCGCAGTACACTTATTGCGGTGGGGGATTATGATCAGTGGGGAAAGTAGACACGTAGGATGAAAGGTCACAAGCACACAATGCAAAGCATGCTGGTAAATAGGGGCCATTAACAACACGGAGGTGATCTTGACATCTCAAGATTCTTCTTGTGGCTGACCATTCAACCCTGGACAGCACTAGCTCATTGCTAGCTGCCTCATCTTTAGGACTGGCAAAGAGCTCCGCACAGAAACCTCTAAAGATTACTTGACCCCAATCTATCTTCTATCATTTAAGAACCATCTATTTACCTCAGACATTTACTGACCCTCTTGACTCTCAGACTTTTTATCAACTCACCTTGGATAGTCTTTTGGACCCTTGGGAGTCAGTATTGACCACTTGGGGAACCCTGCCCTAAATGTTGCTAATGCTAACTATGAACATATTAAAACAAGTTAAATATAAAAATAAAAATTGCTGAATTTCAGGAGTGTGTAGACTACTTTAAATTAATACAAAATATGAAAGTGATGAAGGTGTATAAACAACAAAACTGTGCTGAATGTAATATAAATGAGTGATACTTATCACTATTAAATAACGTCTGTGTATAACCAGTACGCTGCCACTTTAAAAAATATACAAATCATCAAGAAAAAAACTTTAGAAAGTATTCAGGTGGAGCATAAATCAATTTTCAGTGCAAAAACTCTATAAAAAAAATATATATATAAAGTGAGCAAAATCTTCCACACAAAAGAATAATTGATGAAATTACAATAATTAATAATATATTCCAAAAAGAAAAGTCCAAATGAATCAGTCCACAAAACGATCACCCCATGAGGAAAAACTTGTGCAGAATGAGTAAATACATAAATATATGTGCAGTGCTCACCTCTCAGGTGTGCACTCACCAAAGAGTGTTGCCTCCCACTCTCATGGTTGGCACACTAGGCTTTAATAGACAATTTTCCAAGAAATAAATCAGACCACTATGATGTTTTATTCTACTTTATATCTTGAAACATACTCAAATGACCATGTAGGAGGAAAAAAACAAGAAAGCCCCAAATGGTGCAGTACCAACTAGACGATTCTTTATTGTCACAATAGAGTGCCACTTACAAGAAGTAAATAAGTGAAAAGCCCAAAGATGTTAGCTTTAGTAAGCTCTTAGTTTAAGGAAAGCTGAATCAGTGCTGTTACCACCGCTGGCCCTCGATCTCTGACGCTCCCACGTCACTTCTTTTTTTTTTTTTTTTTAGTTTTGGATAAGAGTGGAGATGGATTAGAACACCTGTCATTTTTTATTGCTGTCTTGTGCCCCTAGTAGGGAGTTTCACTCTCTCTATTTGTCCATTTTACCATTATCAGAAAGAAAAAGTAAAAGAAAATCCCACGTTTTGGGTTGTCCCTAGAAAAATAATAAAGGAGAAATCTTTCAATGGGGACATCAGGTCTGGTGACCTAGGGTTTCCCTTAATTTAGAGATTTCCTGTCACTTTCCATACTCTATCCAAAATGAAAAAAAAGTTTTGCCTATAGTAGTTCTTTGAAATTGCAGCTTTTGATTTGGCCTCTGTAGTTTTATTTCACTTATGTTTTAGAGGTTGTACATGGTTTGATTATTTTCTCTTAAGTTCATACACCTCTGAATTTATGACATTTTAATATCACAGTTACTTTTTTCCAGTTCAGTACTTGCTAACTTGATGTCTTTTTTCCCATTCTTTTACTGCATTTCACATATTTTATCAGCCCAATTTTAGTACTTTCAACCTTTACAGAGTTAAAGGTTATATAATACAATTTGTTGGATAGAATGATAAAAATCAAATGTGAGACTGACATTAGACATGATATGACCCTTGTATAAAAATGCCTGTTATAAATTCAATCCACCCAAGTCTAAGTTTTTTTTTTTTTTTTTTTTTTTTTTTTTTTTAACATAGAAGAGCACTGGTGATGAATCAACCATTGTCTTATATTATCTATGGTGCACTACAATACTAGATTCACTGTACTTTTTTAAAGTTCCTAGTTCTACATTTGCTCACTATGAAGTCTTTCTTATTCTACTGCAGCAGTAGTAGCTGCACTTCTGTCTCTGCTTTCTCTGTATGCACTGTTTAACAAACTATTTTCATAATCTAAAGGGATCCATGTTTTTAGGGGAAAGTTTGGTTAATTGACTTTAACCCATTTGGAGAAGTAACAGACTCATTGCTGTTCAGCTGGGAGGAGCTGACCAAAGGAGCAAATCCAGGAGACGAAGAAAATTTTGATCAAGTAAGTGAATAGTGGGGTGGTTTAGAGACATCAAAGAATAGATTGTGTCGTAAATGTCTATTTTTAATATGCCGTGTTGCAGCCTTCTGTAAAAAAAAAAAAAAAAAAGGTAGAACCTCCCACCTCCCACTTTCTGTCCAGGTGACAAATGTCAGACAGAACAGATGCACAACCCGTAGGTCACAATCCCAAGTGTGAGCACAAGAATATTCAGAGCATTCACGGTAGTGGTAAAGGCTCTTCCACCATATGCCATTATTTTACCATGGGCACATGGGACAAGTAGAGCCATGCATGCTTCTCCAGGTAACCACTGCTTCCATTGCCCTTTGAAACTTCCTGCCCTGCCTGCAACTGACATCTGCCTTCCTGTTGCCCTTGGTAACCACTGCTTCCATTGCCCTCTGAAACTTCCTGCTCTGCCTGCAACTGATATCTTCCTTCCTGTTGCCCTTGGTAACCACTGCTTCCATTGCCCTCTGAAACTTCCTGCTCTGCCTGCAACTGATATCTGCCTTCCTGTTGCCCTTGGTAACCACTGCCTTCACTGCTTTCTCAATCGCTAAGCTACTTTGCATGCCTGAAATCATCTGCTTTATTAGATTTTTTTTTTGTAACTATTGTGTATACTTGCCTGTATGAAGTTACCTTAGCCTCATAGTGCCTTAGCTGAGATCAAACACCTTGCCTTATCTTGTGTCCATCCTGCTTGCAATTTGTTAAGGGCAGAACACATCCCCCATGTGTCATTTTATTAGCTCTTAATTGAACGATTGCCTAAACTCCCCCCCCTCCTCGTCTATCCAAGTATAAATTCAGTATAGTCCTTGGGACGGCTGGCGAGGGGACAGGCTGGCATTCCTTGTGCAAAGTACGCATTACGGCGCTAAGTACATGGCACTTTGACTAAGGCAAGTACTAATATTAGTGCTCCACATCAAGTAGATTGCGTGTGCTCTTCCCTCTCTTACCTCTTTCCTTCAGCCTTTCTTTGTTATCTCTCCTCTCTCCAGCATGCTCTTGCTAACTCTCTTTGTTGCTTTAATGCCCTCTCTTCTCAAACTGTCTTGTTTACCCCTCTTCCCCGCCCCACAACCTGTACATATCACCCTCACTTCTGCCCTCTCAGTATCATTGCACTTATCTCCTGCTCTCTCTTGGTCCACATAATGTCACTGCTACAAAATCACTGCGGCATTTCCCCTCATATAAATCTTGCTCCCACCTCACCTCCCTCACCTCCTATTACTACTAACTTTTGGAGACATTGCCCCAAACCCTTGACCTCCACCATCAAACTCCAACCCACAGAAGCAGCAGCCTCCCCTCTCTGGCCGCAGCCGCAACCCTCACTCTCTCATCTCAATTCCCCTGCTTCCACGCACCAACCCCTCCCTCTTATGTGCCCTCTGGAATGCCCGCTCAGCCTCTAACAAACTCTCTGCTATCAATGACCTCTTTCTATCCCACTCCCTCAACCTACTTGCTATTACTGAAACCTGGCTCCAGGATTCCGACTCTGTCTCCTCAGCTGCACTCTCCCATGGCGGCCTCCTCTCGACTCACTCATCCAGACCCAGTGGATGAAAAGGGGGCGGGGTCGGACTTCTTCTTTCCCCACAAAGCACGTTCCAGGTTCTTCCTGCCCCCACTCTTTTTGAAGTGCACTGTATTCGTCTCTTTTCTCCTGTTTGTCTGAGGATCATAGTCATCTACCGGCCCCCAGGCCCAGTTTCACGCTTTCTTAATGACTTAACAGCATGGCTACCATACTTTCTCTCCTCTGAGGTGCCTGCCATCATCCTCTGTGACTTTAACATCCCAGTCATGTTCACACCTCTGCCACCTCTCAACTACTCAACCTAACTTCCTCTTTTAACCTAACACAATGGTCACAATCCACCACCCACTCCAATGGCAACACACTTGACCTTGTATTCACCCACCTATGCACTCCCTGTAACCTCTCTAACACCCCTTTTCCTCTCTCTGATCACAACTTTATCAACTTCAAACTCTCCCTGCCTCCTACCTCCCATGCCTCCAACCAGCAAACCGTCACCTGTAGAAACCTCCACCACCTCAGTCCTGACTTTCTTCACTCCGCTACTGAGCGACTCTATGATGAAATTGCACCCCTGTCCTGCCCAGAGCTGGCCACATCTGCCTACAACAACTATCTATCATCCTCCCTGAGCGCTCTTATTCCTCTTTCTACACGAAAAACCAGGCCTCGCCTGTCACAACCCTGGCAAACAGATAACCTTCTTGATCCCCGAAAGTCTGGCTTCCGCCCACAACATTCCATTGAAACTGCCCTACTAAACCCTCACTAATGACCTACTAACTGCTAAAATCAACGGCCATTACTCCATACTCATACTCCTTGACCTTTCCGCTGCCTTTGGCACAGTCAACCACCCGCTCCTCCTCAGTAAACTCCACTCCATCGGCCTCCGTGACTCTGCTTTCTCCTGGTTCTCCTCTTCCCTTTCTCCGCACACTTTCAGTGTCACATGCAACTCCTCCTCTCTTCTTCCTCTTTCTGTTGGGGTACCCCAAGGTTCTGTCTTTGGGCCCCTCCTTTTCTCTCTCTATACCTCCTCCCTGGGCTAACTGATAACCTCTCATGGCTTCCAATACCACATCTATGCTGATGACACCCAGATCTATCTCTCCGCTCCCCAGCTCACCCCCTCAATCTCCTCAGGTATCACAAATCTATTAAGCGCCATGTCAGCATGGATGTCACATCACTACCTTAAACTCAATCTTTCAAAAACTGAGCTTGTAATATTTCATCCTCCCCGATCCCCCACTCGCGACTTTACCATTAAGATCAACAGCACAACCATTGGTACTTCCCCTCATGCCAGGGTGCTAGGCGTAATCCTAGACTCTGACCTCTCCTTTGGGCTCCACATTCACTCACTGGCTAAATCCTGCCACCTCAACCTCCGGAACATTTCCAAAATCCACCCCTTTCTGACCAATGACACCACAAAACAACTTATCCATGCTTTGGGTATAATCCCGCCTTGATTACTGCAACGCCCTCCTTACTGGTCTACCGTTACACAGGCTATCCCCCCTTCAGTCTATTATGAATGCTGCTGCTAGACTCATACACCTTACCAACCGATCAGCGACTCCTGCCCCTCTCTGCCAATCCCTTCACTGGCTTCCACTAACCCAACGTATAAAATTAAAAATCCAGAGATACCTCCCAAATCGCCCACTCCGCTCCTCCCAAGATTTCTTCCTCTCTAGCTCCCTCATCACCTCCTACCATGCTCGCCTCCAGGACTTCTCTAGAGCCTCTCCCATCCTCTGGAACTCCCTACCACAGCATGTCCGATCAGCCCCCACGCTGTCTGCCTTTAGGCGATCTTTGAAAACTCACTTCTTCAGGGAAGCCTACTCCACCTAAGAACTGTACTTGAATCACCTCCACCAGGTCATCCCCCGCAGCCATCACCTTTTGTATCACCTCCCCCTTCCTTTAGATTGTAAGCTCTACGAGCCGGGCCCTCACATTCCTTCTTTACTGAAATGTATTGTAATTGTACAGCGCCAACTGTTTGTGCGCAAACTGTTGGCGCTATATAAATCCTGTATAATAATAATAATAATATACTGTAGTATCTTTATCTTCATGTGTTAGCTTTGCAACTTGAGCCTATGGGATCATGTAAAATCTTACAGCTCATTTTTGAGGATGAGCACCACTTCTCTGGGGGGGGGGGGGGGGGGGGGGGGGGGGGGGGGGATAGACTATTTAAAATGTCATTAGTGGGGACACATATAGAATGTTAGTTATCAGGTAGTTTCCCATAAACACCAGTAACAGTTAACTGTCAAAGCATACAATTTAAATTTCCTATCAGATATGTTTTATGTAAACCCTAAACCAAACCTATCCATTGTAAAGACAGTTACTGCAAATTAAGTCAACACCTTGCAGTACCTGCTTAGGTTCACATATGTGCAGCTCTGTGGGCTGTGGTTTGACTGGGCATGGCAGCCCATTCATTTGAATAGGCCCCTGTGCCTCCTGAAATGCAGAGAAAAAAGTCCCTGCACCATTTTTTGGTGGATTAATGACACCCACCTCCATCTCCTGAGGTTCACTGTGCTGGTGGCTGCAGCTGCAAGAACAGGTGCAGGTCCCACAGCGGCAATCACTGGCACACGAGGAACCTAGCCTTAGGCCTCTTTCACATGGGCGTTCCGTATGTACGTTTTTCATCTGTCCGTTTACAGATGAAAAATGGACACTCATGTATTTCTATGGACTAGCGCATGTAAACGGATGATCATTGGTTTACATCCATTAATGTCCGTATTCGTTAACATCTGTTTTTTTGAACAGAGGAAAACCCTAAAAAAAAACAGTTGAAAAATGGATGTAAACGGATGCAAAATGGATGTAAACAAATCAGTTTTTTCTTTGAAAAAACGTGACTGAACTGATGAAAAAAAACGAAATGTCCCATGTGAAGGGACCCTAAAGCACTCTCTCAAACAACAATATAAAACAGTGGTTATTAAAGGGTAACTCAACTTTAGTGGGAAAAAAGATAACTAATAAATATAGCATATACAATGAATATAAAAAGTTTATACATCCCTGTTAAAATGTCAGGTTTCTGTGATGTAAAAAAATTAGACAGATAAATAATTTCAGAACTTTTTCCACCTTTTTTATGTAACCTATAAACTGTACAACTTGGTTGAACAACAAACTGAAATCTTTTAGGTGGAGGGAAGTAAAAATAAAAAAACTAAAATAATATGGTTGCATAAGCGTGCACACCCTTAAACTACTTTGTTGAAGTGCCTTTTGATTTTATTACAACACACAACATTTGCCCACTCAAAATCTGTCAGATTGCCAGGGCATCTCTTGTGCACAGCCCTCCTCAGATCATCCCACAGATTTTCGATCGGATTCAGATCTGCGCTCTGGCTGGGCCATTCCAAAACGTTAATCTTCTTCTGGTGAAGCCATTCCTTTGTTGATTTGGATGTATGCTTTGGGTCGTTGTCATGCTGAAAGATGAAGTTCCTCTTCATGTTCAGCTTTCTAGTAGAAGCCTGAAGGTTTGGTGCCAATATTGACCGGTATATATGGAACTGTTCTTTATTTCCTCTACCTTGACTAAGGCTCCAGCTGTAGAAAAACAGCCCCAAAGCATGATGCTGCCACCGCCATGCTTCACTGTGAGTATGGTGTTCTTTTGGTGATGTGCAGTGTTGTTTTTGCGCCAAACATATCTTTTGGAATTATGGCCCAAAAGTTCAACCTTTGTTTCATCAGACCATAACACATTTTCAAACATGCTTTTGGAAGACTTTAGATTTGTTTTGCAAATTTAGCCGGGCTTGGATGTTTTTTTTCATAAGAAAAGGTTTCCGTCTTGCCACTCTATCCCTTAGCCCAGACGTATGAAGAATTCGGGAGATTGTTGTCACATGTACCACACAGCCAGTACTTGCCAGATATTCCTGCAGCTCCTTTAATGTTGCGGTAGGCCTCTTGGCAGCCTCCCAGACCAGTTTTCTTCTAGTCTTTTCATCAATTTTGGAGAGACGTCCAGTTCTTGGTGATGTCACTGTTGTGCCATATTTTCTCCACTTGATGATGACTGTATTCACTGTGTTCCATGGCATATCTAATGCCTTGGAAATTATTTTGTACCCTTCTCCTGACTAATACCTTTTAACAATGAGATCCCTCTGATGCTTTGGAATCTCTCTTCTGATAATGGCTTTTTCTGTAGGATGTGACTAAGGAAATGTCAGGAAAGACCTACTAGAACAGCTGAACTTTATTTGGGGTTAATCAGAGGCACTTTAAATGACAGGTGTGAACTGACTGCTATTTAGCATGATTTTGAATGTTGTTGCTTAATTCTGTACACAGCTACACCAGTTATAAGAGGGTGTGCACACTTATGCAACCACATTATTTTAGTTTTTTTTATGTTTACTCCCCCCGCCCCCTTAAAAGATTTCAGTTTGTTTTTTAATTGAGTTGTACAGTTTATAGGTCACAATAAAGGTGGAAAAAGTGCTGAAATGATTAGTTTTTGTACATCACAGAAATCTAACATTTTAACAGGGATGTGTAGACTTTTTTTTTATCCACAGTACATGGGCTGCGCAATCCATATTGTAAATTAATGCATTAAAATGTATCTTTCCTTTTAAATCTGTAGTGCTGTGATTTTCAGTAAAATTCAATGCAGTATGGCAACCTGGAGGCCTGCTGTACACAGCTGGTGTACAGAACTTCCCCAGAAATGTCAATCTCCGCTTGTGTGATTGGATCACTGATTTTACCAGAAGTCTGCGCTATAATACAAGTCAGATTTTAGGCATACTCTGCAACAAACATTTCATTTTTGGTGAAATACTCCCAAAGGGTTAATTACTTCTAAAGGGACGCAAACTCTGCATTTTCCTTTTTAGAACCCTACAAGTACATCAGCTGATTAATAATGAATAGCTCTCACCTATTCAGATTCACTATGCACATTGACATAATTAAACAAACAGCTTTTTCATGATATCAGATAAAAGTTGGAATCTGCAACAAAGTTTGTTAAATTCCATGCAATGTACAGTACATTGATCACACAGAGGGGGCTGTTTTTTTTCTCCATAAAAGTGGAGTTAATCTTAAAATAGCACCAAATAAAGATCTATCGATCTCAAAGAAAATTATATAAAATTAATTTGGGTGTATTGATGCATTAGAAAGTAACTGTCAGTGAGACAACTTTGAAAATGGAAAATGGCTTAGTAATGAGGTAATAAGGTATGTGTATATGTGTAGTACTCAAGTAGTTAAAGCGGTAGTAAAGTCCTCCAATTACAAAAAAAAAAAAAAAAAAAAAAATTGGGCCTCCTGGTGGTTTAAGTTCTAATGAGCTACTATTTACCGCCTACTAGCTCATTATGACCAATTTACCTTAAAACCCCTCCAGCAGTGCGTTGTCTCCACGGACAAGGCTTTGATTTTTACCCAATCTTCCTTCTCGGTTCTTGCTTTCTGGCTACTTGAATGGGCAGGGCGTGATTACGTCATTCCCACACATGCGTACAGGGGTCACAGTTGAAGCCCAGTTTTCCAATAAACGGCATACTTTAGTGCCAGTGATGTCTTCGGCCGCTACAAAAGTGAATATTTCCTAAACGGTACACGTTTAGAAGATGTTCATTGTACCAACAGGTAAGCCCTATTAAAGGCTTACCTGTAGGTGCAAGTCAGGGAATAGAGTTTACTACTGCTTTAAAGTGTTACTAAACCCAGGACCCTGCATTCACTATATTTGGTCTCCCACTAAACAGAACATGGAAATTCAATTATTGTAGTAAATATAAACTGCTAAATACCTTTTGTTATCAGCAGTATATAGCAGTCTTGTGACTTCTATCAATGTCCAGCAGAGCACTGGCTAAAGCTTGTAGAAGGAGTTTTTCATTCTTTTCTGACTGTCCTATGAGGCTGCATGACACTTAACCATCTGTCTGGACAGTGCTGATAAGCCCCGTGCTGATCAGATGCACCCTCCCAAAAAAAAAAAACCTCAATACACACTAAACTGAGCATGTGCAGAGTGCCTCCTAGGGCTCTGTACTATCAGCAGATGGATGGGGGACTGTAGAAGAAGGGGAGAATCAGAGAAGACAGGATCAAACAGCCTTTTTACACAGTGCGTACTATTAACCCTTCAGGTTCCACAGTGAGTTCAGCAAGCATGCTTTACTGCATATACAGACTGATTTTACTGTTGTGGGTTTAGTAACACTTTACGGACTAGCTCACCCTTCAGCCTACATTTCATAGCTTTTGGTATTTAAACAGGACACTGTCACCTTGCCCATACAGGCAAAGCAACAGTATCTCTGCAAGGCGCATTCCACAACCCATTATACTTACCTTACCTGCATTCTCTAGCATTCCTTGCATCTCCACTGCTAGTGAGAATACCTGGCACTTCCATCATGTAGCCTCTAGCATGTAACCTGATCCTCAGTGACAGTACTCAGGCCTAGTGGCCAATTGCTAGACCCAGACACTTTCACATGCCCAGTAGAGTGATGTCCTTGTTTTCCCGAGCCACAAGCGCAGGTGATTTTCAACTGCAGAGAAGCACGATGCTGTAGGGTGCACAAGTGAGGTGAGTATTTGGAGGGTTGGGAAACACCCTTTGAAGAGACGCTGTCACTTTGCACAGCATGGACAAGGTGACTGTGTCATGTTTAATAACCAAGAGCCAAATGCTAGTCCTTAAAGTGATAGTAAAGGTAAAACTTACTAGCTCTAAACCTACCTCAGCCACCTTCAAAGCCTAATCTGTCTACCCCTGTTCAGAAAAAAAAATCTCCATACTTACCTGTTCTGCCGCCGCTTCGGTCCAGTCTCCAGCGGCACCCTTTGTGTGTAGGAGACAGCCAACAATGACGTCAACCATAGAGTTACTATGGGGCTTCAGTTGTCGACTGCCTCTCCTGTACTCCGAAGCTGCCACTGACAGCTCAGCGTGGGACCAGAGTGGAGCAGCTGCAGAATAGGTAAGTATAGTGAACATTTTTCTTTACAGGGCTAGATAAATTAGGCTTAGAATGTGGCTAAGAATAGCTTTAGAGTTGGTTAGGTTTTGCCTTTACTTCCACTTTAACCATTTGAGTACTAGCCTGTATAAATCCCTTGTTATTGTTTAAATTTGATTAAAATTTGTAAATATTTAATATACAAAACATCCGTTGCTTTAAGCAATGTGTACTTTTTATGACTTATGACTGTAGACAAAACCTAAGACTTCTTATGTGTCTCGATATGTCTGATTAAAAGGCAACCATGACAAAATAACAAATTCCAAAAAAATAAACAGGCATTGGGGTTTATTTACTAAAACTGTTGCACTCAGAAGCTGATTGGCTACAATGCACAGCAGCACCAGAATCTAACTTCATCTTGTTCACCTAAGCTTTTGGCAATAAAACCTGGAAACTGCTTGTTTTCTATGCAGAGCTGCACCAGATTGTGCACCATTCAGTTTTAGTAAATAACCCCCATTGTGTTACTATAGACTGTAGCAATATGACTGCAGATTGTACATGGTTACAACTTGGTTTTACCTTGGTAAAACCATACAGTTCTCAGTATAATGATAGTATCTGATTAGGAAGATTTTGTATTATAAGTTGCATATTGCAAATTCCCAGACTTGCAAGCAAACGTTTAATGTTACAATCAATTTTCAGACCTTTTATCACAGCCAATAATAGAGGAAACCCATTAAAATATAGACTGTGAGATTAATGTATAATTATTAAACTTGTTGATGGTCACAGAGGTGGAGAATGTAATTTATTGCTAACCATAGCATTTCCATTGCTGTATCTATGCTTTTGACTCCCTTGGCTTTTATAATGAATATAGCTTAGATGCCTTTTTAACACACACACACACACACACTAACACACACCACTAAAATTGTGATTGCATTGTGCATCCCTTTACTGGGGTGTGCATAGCATACTGTAATGCTGCACATCCTCAAGAACTGAAGCAAATGTCTTCAAAGTGCTTTAAAACACATTTATGAAATCGCCAACCCTGGCCCCATATTATCAGTTTTGTGCAAGCTCTATTTTTTCTTTATTATTAAATGGATCATTTGTGATGCTAGTGGGTTCATATGACTAAAGGAAACACAACAGAATAATATGAAGTTAAATAAAGGCATGTATTGCAGGATTGTCCTATATTCCGCTATACAACAAGTGAAGTCACAGTGCAGCCTAGTCCGTACTTGAGTTACCGTTTGCCAAAGGATTTTGTCGATCTTTCTACAGGAGAGGATGCTCATAAACTCATTGATTTTCTTAAACTGGTGAGTAATAATTTATTTGGATTCCTGTTCCTTCTCTAGTGGAATGGTAGTATGCCTCGTATTTTTATGGATTTTCTTCTTTGCCGCATTGTCTTTTTATATTTCAATTTTATGGTAGATGTGAAAAAAAGAACTGTAATAGATAGCCTAGCAAACACTGCTGTATATCATTGGCTTATTTACATATTGAATAGCTGAATATAGGCTAGGGTTGACAGATGCAATTGCAAACATATGCATTACATGCAGCTCTATGGACAAGCAGATGTAAACAGATTTGCAGCCATTTACACCCTCCTACCTCCGAGTTTGTCCAGGTCTGGAAAAAAAATTGAAAAGGACTGGGTTGGAGGTAGCCTGATGTAAACAGACAGCAGAGTTTGTTTACATCTGACTGCTAATAGAGCTATAATGGGTGCCGCCTGTGTCGGCCAGACACAAACTTAATTGGTTCGCATGTCGAAAAACTGATATGCGTCCCATTCGGGCCCTGCTGATTACACGGACACCACTCTGTGTGAAAGAGCACTAAAGCCACTACAAGTACTAAAAAATGTGTTGATCTTTGCCAGCACCCACAGACTGTCTAATTTCTAATTTTTGTTGTGGACTGACAACCACAGTCTCTTCTCAACAACAGCATAAAATTATCTGTAGTCTCAAGGTAAGAACTAAGAGGGCTTAAGCTCCCTGAGACAGATCATGCAAATACACAGGACAGTTCTGAATTTCCTGCACAATCAGCAGGTATATTTTGCACTTAATGAACAGATATAAGAAAACTCTTATATTTAAAAGACTTGGGAAGCTAATAAGATCATTGTTATGGTTTACATACACTTTTTTTCTTTCTAGGTTAAAATTCCTAACATTTTTTATAGATGTTCTTTTAAATGTATAGGTTATAAATTTGGCCTATATTTCTGCAGTTTTTTGCAACTAAAAATCCACCTAATGGATTGAAACAGCTAATATTGCGTGATGTGAAGATTAAATAAGCTGGCACCATAAAGTTGAGTGAACACATTTCTAATACTGTGAGAGGTTGTTGTATACTGCGTAAGTACATATATGTGGCTAATTAGTAAATAGTTATATAACAGATACTGTAAATATATAAAGCACAGTAAAATGAAAATAAGCTCAGTGCATAATACTGATGTTGCACTAAATATAAAGCTGCCATATATACAAGCTTTATATCTTATGCATAGCTGGCTATTCAATAAAAGCAAGTTATTTATATATATATATATATATATATATATATATATATATATATATTATGTAATATGACTTCATCTAAGTGGAAACCTTATGGACATTTATATTGCCAGCCTTGTTATGTTTATGAGCGCATTGTAAAAATAAATGGCTCTCATGCCAGTGATTTATGAATGGCCAAGTCCCTCAAAGGAAGCATTTTTTTAATGTGGAATTTTCTGTTTCTCCTTTCAAAATGCTGGTGACTTATTTATAGTGCAGCCTTAGGAGCAAATTGCACCTCTCTTAAAGTGCCCTTGTGCCTTACTATTGGACAACAAAATAAGAATGGCCGTGTACAGTGGATTAAAACAACTCACCAGCACAGCCTTTCTATCAAAATAGTACTTTTATCTGTAGTATTCATGCAGTGTATTTTCACCTTGTAGCCAACTGAAAGCCTTTACTGTCAATTGTGCTAGCAGCAGCACTCCTAAATACTCGCTGTTATGTAAGTTACCACCCCCTTCTCCTGCATATGCGCTAGTCTTACTGTGTAGAAGCTTGGAACAAGGACATCCTGTCAATCAGGCTGAGTCAAAAGCTTGGTTGCTTGGTCCACCGTGCTGGAGATCTTTTAGCAGACGGTGAGCAATTTAACCACTTCAGCTCCATAAGATTTACCCCCTTTCTTGACCAGGTCATTTTTCGCAATACTGCACTGCAATACTTTTAACTGATAATTGAACGGTCATGCATCACTGTACTCAAATTAAATTTGTCTTTTTTGCCCCTACAAATAGAGCTTTGTTTTGGTGGTATTTGATCACCGCTGCAGTTTTTACTTTTTGCGTTTAGAAACAAAAAAAGGCCGACAATTTAAAAAAAAAAAAACACTATTTTTTTATTTTCTACTATAAAACATATCCAATAAAAACATTTTAAAAATCACATTTCTTCAAAAATGTAGGCCAAGATTTATTCTGCTACATATTTTTGGTAAAGAAAAGTCCCAATAAGCATACATTGATTAGTTGGAACAAAAGTTATAGCGTCTACAAAGTGTGGGACATATACTGAATTTTTTAACTTTTTTTTTATTTTTTTATACTAGTAATAGTGGCAACCAGTGACTTCTAGCGGAACCGCGATATTGCGGCAGATGTTTTTACACTAACTGACACTTGTGGGAACCAGTGACACTAATACAGTGATCAGTTCTAAAATATACACTGATTACTGTACTAATGACACTGGTTAGGAAGGGGTTAACATCTAGGGTGATCAAAGGGTTAAGTGTGTGTCTAGCTATGTGCTTGGTATACACTAGGTGGTGCTGGTACAAGATGAAGTGATAGACAGTGTTCCCAACTCTGCAGAGATACACGATCGATCACTTTCCTCTGTCACAACAATCTGTAAACCTAGGCACAGCTTTGTTCTTCCTCCCTGCCTGACAGTCTGTGGGTGCCGGCAAAGATCCGTTTGACGGGACTTGCATATCAGCTTCTGCTGTGACAGTTCACAGCCGAAGCGATTTGCAGGCAGCGCTCGCATGCACCCCTGTGAGGTGGAAGTGCAAAATCATATATCATAATCACACACACACACATATATATATGTGTGTATGTATATGTGTGTGTGTGTGTGTGTGTGTGTGTGTGTGTGTGTGTGTGTGATTTTGCACAGAAAAGCCACCCTGTAGCAATAAGTGAGGTGAAAGTGGAAAATCACGTATGTATATACGTGATTTTGTACAGGAGAGTCGCCCTGTACCAGTAAAACTGCTGTAGGGCAGATGTAAAGTGGTTAATGCATTTCCCCCAACTTTCTGATCCGCACACATGGGACACTCTTTACCACAAATTAACTAATCACAAAACTGCTTTCTTAAACATACATTTCAGGACACAGATTTCTTAAAACTTAGACCACTGGCTTATGCAGCTGCCTTCAGGTGATTGGACTGGCAAACAAAGTTGTTTTAAGGACAGCATTATATAACCCTTTCACCCCCAGGAAGCCTAAGTTTTTCTGCTGTCCTTAGGTGAACAGAAGCAAACTCTGTTTTTGTTTTTTTGCCTTTTTTAATCAAGATATTCTTCTACCGAGATTCCTTTGCAGCTACATAGCCACTGCAACTATTGTTGCAGGTTCTGGATCGATTGACTCCTGGTTATAGTTTGGGGAACTATACCCAGACCCCACTGGGAGGAAGATTGGTTCCACTTTGCAACATTGCCTAGGGGCCATGGATTCTAGTTTTTGCGGTCAACTAGGCACGAAGTTCAACATGATGAGTAAGCCACAGGGTGCTATTTGTTTCCAGGTTTTTGGTCTGTCTGCTAGTGAAACCAGGAGGGTGAAAATCTGGATAGGGGTTGGTTCCCTTAAACATCAGGTTTTGGTTGTAGCCATTCTTTTCTGAAGACTGCTTTGCTCTCATTCTTTGTTGAAAACTGTTATACAGGGTGTTGCTGCCTTATCTTGTGAAAAGTGCTTCCTAGTGTTACACAGGGATAAGGTTGTCTTGAGGCCTAAGGCCACCTTTCTACCTAAAGTGATTTCCTTCTTCCACCTTAACCAGGGTATTGTGCTTCACTCTCTACGACCTGCTCCCAAACATTCTTTGGATAATCCTCACACGCCATCTTCATGTGGTATGTGTGCTGGTTGATTCTCTTTGTGTACAGCTGCTTTTGGACTATCAGATTTACTGTTTGTCATTCCTAGAAATCCCTGCGTGTGGGACATTCTGCCTCATGCTTCACTGTTTTTGGGTGGATTAGTCGTCTCATCTTTTGAGGCACTGATTTAAGGGATAGGATGCCTCCCTTTCCTGTCAGAGCACATTCCACCAGATCTGTTAGTGCTTCAAGGTCTTTTTAGCATTTGGCATTTGTTTTCTAGATTTGCAAGGCCGTCACCTGGCCTTTTTCTCACAGATTCACAAGTTTTATCAGGTAGATGCTCAGGCCTGTCTTGATGCCGGTTTTGATCGTAGGGTGCTTCAAGCCGTTCTCGGAGTCCCTTTGAGCCTTCTTTGGCTTGATGGTTCTGTGGGTCTGTTGATGTTTATTTGCTTTGTTGACCACCCCTCGGTTGGACTGATTTTGGATGTATCAATGACCTAAAACCATAATGGCCTTAGTCCTGTTTTGTACAATTAACAAAGTAGATTTTTGGCTTGCATGTAAAAGCTGTTCTTGGAGGAAGGCCCTACTTTACTGTGTTGATGGGCTATTGTATATTATACACCAAGAAAGAACACAAAATTGGTATCCTTTTTTACATATGTGATTTTACATATGTGAAGGGCTCTTTGGTTGAAATGTTGGTCTAAGGAGCATCAGTGAAAGAAACACATCTTGTTTATGCCCTTTGATGAGGAACACCTCTTTGGCAAACTTTATTAAAGAAGTCATTGAGCAGGAGGAGTCATTTATTTATTCTCACTAAAATTCTTTCCCATGAATTTTACCCTCTTTGGGCTATTGTTTATTCCTGTTGTTTTTTCAGATATTATACAGCAGTTCCTGGAATACATTTATACTTTTAACATCACTCTTTGTCCTAGTGCAACACATGCACAGTCAGAAAAACACCCATCCACACTGTAAAAGAAGTATCAGTGGATACCCACCCAAACAAGACTACAGCTTTCCAACTTCATGTAAATGGAAGTACAGTATCCCTTTGCTGCAAAACTTTAATACTTCTTAGTGTTCCACTGAGCTTCCACATTGACCTTCTCCTTGGATTTCAGACATTCCCTTCCTGCATGTGTATTTACTGCGTGTAACTAGCCCTTATGTTTGTACTAGGAACGTCATTAC